GTTGCTAACTTCCAGCATCCACGAGGTGAGTCTTCTCACTATACTGTACCCGGAAGGGTTTGATTGTGTGACCGGAAGGTCGAGTATATTATGTGTTATGTATATATGCTATAAATGGAAAGTTAGTTGCTACGCGTGATATGCATGTTTATATGGGCCGGAAGGCAAAGTGTTATGTGACAGAAAGGTCAGGTATGATATATGATATATGTGCTTTATGTGTTAGAGTAAATGTATTATGTGCCATATATGTTTTTGGGCCGGAAGGCAATATGTTATGGGCCGGAAGGCAATATGTTATGGGCCGGAAGGCAGTGTACTATGGGCCGGAAGGCAACACGTTATGGGCCGGAAGGCGATTATCTCATGGGCCGGAAGGCATTGTGCAGTGGACCGGAAGGTCAGGGCCTGGAAAGGAATATGTGCGTAAGGTGTATATTGGGGAACTCACTAAGCCTCGTGCTTACAGTGTTTTATGTATGTTGTTTCAGGTTCTTTCAGTAACGCGGGATGGCACCGGCTCGATTGTACACACCAGAGAAAGAGTTGTATTTTGGAGGATCCTGGTTTTCCATTCAAGTGAAAATGAAGCTATGTTTTGTAATTCAATTATGAATGAGATTTTAAACAAGTGTTTAATATTAAATATGATTATTTTAAATGAAAATTTTGTCTTGAAATTTACGGTGTTACAAATTGTTAGATTGGTTAAAATCAAGAAGATGAGTCATACTTCGTTCCAAAACAATTCTTAGAGTCTTACTCCAAGATTGTAACCTTGAGTGACATAAAGTAAGGTTTAAAACACTCATCAAATGTAGTGTGAAATGTTTCTACTCTTGTACATTTGAGATTGGTAAGTTGTGATGTCTTGGATGAGACAAAGACCAACTAAGACCAATTGTGTGAAGTGTTAGTCTTGATAAGAATCCGCACTATCCCTTGAATATTTGTTTTGTCAAGGAATGGTTCTTGACTGGGGAAACTTATATGTCAAGAGGACAGTGGGAGCCTTAAAGATCCTGAAAGAGTTTCAAGATTTAATCAAGAGTAAAACCTGTAATTTATCACTAGCACACGACTTAAGGTTTGCAACCTATCGTGTTGACATAATTCTTATTTCTGTACCTACTTCAAATAAGTTGAATTTGCATGTGAGTTATCAGAGTTCAACTTGGAAGCATTGGTGGGCCTTGTGCTACCAAGGTGACAAGAAAGTAAGATTGAATAAGTTTAATCCATGTAAGGCTGAATTTGTCACTAACCTTATCTTGTGATTATGGTTTTGACAAATTCGCATGGATAGGAACTCATACACTATAAAATCTAAGTGTCATAAGGTTTCTCTCCGATTCATGAAAATGATGGTGAGGAAACGCTTTCACTAAGTAGATTTTACGTAGATAGCAATTGTGTTATTTGCATTTTCAAAAGTCGTTAGTGGAGCGCGTGTGGTTAACCGGCACACTAACATGGACTTGTGAGAAATGGCAAATGCCTAAGCAATTGAGACTATGATTACGGCATCCCTTTTCATAGTTCTGAAAATTGTTTATACACACATGTGAGCTATCTAAGAAAGGGTGTATGAATCTAAATTTCAGAAGTCCAGCAGATTTCTGGAAATATGTCAGAGTTAGTGGGAGCATAAGTGTTATGCTAATAATCATCATGTTAGTGGGAGCATGATAATTATGATTAGTATTGCAAGTTAGCAATGCTAATTATAGAATACAAGGTTTCAATTGGGAAAGAATTGTTTTGCTATAATTAAGGGAGAGGAAATTATACTTCATCTCAAATCTATAAGCTTAGATCGTGAGGTTTTAATCATTTAGTCAAGGATACATATGAATTTCATGTTGGAATGGCTCAACATAAGGAAATTATGTATATGGGTCCATTATTTGCGTTCTAAAATTCGATTATGATTACGGCATCCCTTTTCATAATCTGAATTATGAGAACTTGGCAAATAGAAATGGAAATGTTATAGCAAAAGACTGGTTTGGTCTTTATGTGAGACATCATGAATCGTGTCCCATATGCTTCGGATATAGGATCGATTACATGTGCTATATTCATCCTTTCTAAAATTTTCCAAATGCCTGGGGCATTAAGAAGGGAAAAGGTTTAGAACTGGATATGACTAAAAGGATTAAACAATTGTCGAGGACAATCTAAAGGTTTACCAAAGATTGGTTGCTCAAGGACATTTGGAAGTATAGTGATAATTCTGGAAGGACCATATTGACATAATCTGTAAGGAGGCAACTCTTGTTCAGAAGTGATAGTCAAAATGGAATCTGGAAATGTTTCAAAGTTAGAATTTTCAATCTGTTTAAGATTAGGAAACTTAATGCAAGAAGGATGTTCCCAAGGAGCTGATTTCCTTTGGAATGGTCTGTAATGGTTGTTGTCAAGTCTTTTTTGACTTTGTGCATAATCATTACAAGAGGATCAATGCATATAAGTTTAGAATCTAACACATTTCAGTAAATGACATGAATTTGGAATCCTTGCATTTGCAGTAAGGATTTGGGAGTGTGAAAACAGAATCATTGAAGTTGTGTTCAATGGATCTAGTTTACAAAGAAAAAGATCATAGACAAACATAGTATGCATACTTGGTGTGTGGCATGACTAGTGTTTAGAAAACATAGTGTACATGCTTGGAGCATGGGACAACTATTGTTTTAAATTCAAGAATAAAGTTGATAGCTGAAACAGTATACAATGAATAATGTGTAATCATATGGTGATAAATAAAAGGTGTTTTATTTATATTCATAAGTTCTGAGACCATATTGGATTCAATTATTATTGTGTTTCACTTTGCATGTTTTGACTTCCCGAATAAACTAGGTTATTCTTCCGGAATGACTAAGTTATTCAAACCATCCACAGTCGGTCATATGTTGGAAGTAGATATGAATTAAGACTGTCATGAGTTGGCTTGTAGAGGTCTAAGGTGTTGGACAAAGGGCTACAACACTCATGAGTGCTCATAAGTTCTGAGTATTGGATTCAACCCGCGCTCATTGGAATCACTTCATGGATTTTATCACGAGTGATCATGAGACGATAATATTTTATATTCTTCAAACCTAGAGATATGAGTTGTTACTATGAGTTGATAGTACATTGATTGCACGAAAACGCATTTGGTAACTCGGTGCTATAAAACGTGCCTTTGTGTATGATTCAACAAGTAGTAGAACAAGCCATATGAGTCGAAGTTTATCCATTCCTTTTACCTTCGGGATAAAAGCGATATCTGTGGGCCCCTCGATGATTTGATGATGACAAATGGAAGTGCTCGGCCGGGCCAGGACTGATTTGATTTGTTCAATTAGTCAGTCGTCATAAATCGGAAATCGGGAAACAACAAATGGACAGAGAGAATGATTATAATCCATGTCTCAGTCCATATGATATCTAGAATGGAGGAATATATGATCCCTTATCTAATGGACAAGTCATTGACAAGGTCAGAGTTCATCTACAAGGTCAGAGTTCGACAGAAGCTTTTGAGAGCTACGATTGCCAGTTGGTTCCTGAAGTCATACGCAATAATAGTTTTAGACTTATCCAAGTGGGAGACTGTTGGATTAATGTCTAAGTCCATAACTATAATTGGTAAGACTTGACCCGACCCGGCATGGTCCATTTGGGTTGCATACCATCATGCACTTGGATAGACTATAATGAGAGAAATAAGACACTTATGGTTATTAATATATTATAAGTTCTAGTATATTAATAATAAGAATAATAAGATTATTTAATTAGTATTGATCAAGAATTAATCTAGGATTAATTAAGTGATCAAAAGAAGACTAATTAAATATATGGGTTGATTGTGTAAATCATCCATACTTATATAGTGGGCTAATGCTCCATGGATAATCAAGTTGGGCTAAAACCCATAGGATGGTCCATGGATGCTCCATGGTGTATTTGAACCCATGGATCCAAGGAAATGGAAAGCCATGACAATTAAGGATTTACCCTAATTGTAACACTATATAAAGATCTTATTCTTGACAAAATCGGCCACTAGTATCACACTAGAAAGTGAAGAAAAGGGCTAGCCGATTTCATGAAGTGTAGAACTCTCTCAAGTTATTCTAAGTGTTTTGATGATTGTGATTCCATTTGAGGCTTCCACACTATTGGGGCTAGGCACTCAAGCTTCATGAAGACTTTCTACATCAAAGAGGTATGTATTCTATCTTGTTACACTCATTGTTTTGTATGCTAGATTAGGATAATACCTTGGATGTTCTTATTTGCATATATAATAGAGAAAACATAGATCCAAAGTATTTAGGGTTGCATGTACACTTAGGAGTGTTAGAATGCTCAAAACCCAACAAGAGCATCGTAAGCCTCGGCTATAAGAGCTTGAGCTTTAAGATGGGTGAATGTTTCATCGATAATTACAAGCATCTCATGAAAGTTGTTGTTTGGAACATCAACAACATTCCAAGTGGCATGGATCAACTTGATAAGAACCTCTTGCATTATCATATTCATGGCATCCTTTTTACGAATCTCCTTTTCCAGTCTTTGAATTTTTTTTCATGGTGAACATGAGTTTGCTTGATGAAATTTATCGGTAGCATTGATCATGTCGTCATGGATCTTGAGCATGATTATAGTGGTGGAGATGTGGTGGTCGAGACGGTCATTGTACTTATGTTCGACTTCTTCAAGAGTGTGCTTGAATCGGAGAGAAATGAGTTGGTCGAGCTGATTGGCTCGGTCAATTTCCGAGGGAGCAGCCACTTGGATCTCAGAAAGAGATTTGAGAATGAGCTCTAGCTTGGAGTCAAGACCTATAAATTTTTTTTATCAAGCTTCGTTTCAAGACATGTAACATTTTCATCAAGGGAATCGACTTTGGTGATAGCGGAAGCAACATTATCTCGGAGTTCTAACAGGGAAAAAGGATCTGCAATGTTTTCATCTGAAGATCAAGTTTCCAAGGTTGAACTTTAAAATTTCCTTTCAACATCATCATCTTCATCATGTGATTTTGAGGGCTTGGATCCATTAACTGGATTATCTTGAGCTTTGGGAGAGGATGGCTTGTTTGCTTCAACATCTTCTTCTCCTTTGGATTCCTCGGAGGATGAGGAGAGACCGAAATCATAAATTGGTTTCGAAGAGGAGAGCTTCTGCAACAAACTGAAAGCAATAGGGATCGGAATGACACCGAAAGTTATGTTGTCATCTCTAAACATGAAATCGTCAGTGGGGGGGGGATTGAATGCTTCTTTATGTGTGAAATTCGGAGGCGCATCATCCGAAACGTTTGTGAATTCGAGAATGTCTCTTGAAGTAGTTTCTTTTGTACTTCCTCGGAAGGCTAGAAGGCCTGATCAGTTTCTTCATCGGAAGGAAAAGTAAATGGGAGATGACTTCGGAGAGCTCGCTGACGCATTGAAATAAGTGTAAATTGAACTTGTTTCCTAGTGATCTCTAGATGTTTTGTGTGATCCCTATCAACAAAATATATCCAAACATTGTCAAAAATAACCGATTGTCCTTTACCTGGAGCAGGTATCATACCAGTTGTGGCTTTCGAAGTAGGAGGGACTTTTCCAGCTTCGGAAACCTTGGAATTAGAGGCAGACGCCCTAAATTATGCTTATATACAAATGAGAGGGATTTCCAAATTAACTCATGGGTGTGCCCTAGGGGGCTCCAAGGGACTTTGTTCAATACCAGCATCATCTTTTTGAGAAGATAGGGGTAGATTATGTGCAGACTCCCCGTGAGTGTATGCGTGTGATATTGAAACTCTGAATGGTACTTTGGAAGAGTGGACGTGAGGGGTAGATATATATCCAGAGTCAGATCGAATGTCAGTCTGTGAATCGTATTGAAAGGACTCATACTACCGGAAGCATAAGACCCGTACGTGTATCAAGCAAGTCATGAGTTTTGATGGATGAATGGTTGAGTAGTGATGTGTTGGGGTATAATGTTATTTGCTGACATGCTTCGGTTTAATTTCGGTATGGTATATGATGTGCACAAATTATACCTATCTAGCTTTAAATTTATAAACCTAATTTCTTATCTACTAATGCACTTATAGGCAATGTACCTAGTCAATTTATAGTATAGTAAAGTGAGTTGGGTATCGAACACATGGAACAGATTCAATTTACTAAAATAATTACTAAATATTAATCTATAAGCAATAATGAAAGAATGGGTTTTTTCTGATTTTGCGAGTTCAGATTAACTGAAAACTAAACAAAGATTTTAACAAATAACGGTTGTTATCAAGATATTAAAAACACTTTCGTTTAGTTTTGAATCCACCTTTTTTCCTATGGTTAGTTCTTATTTATGGATTAATACAGTTGGTTACTAAATAGATATTATTAGCAATCTTGATTAGATCTAATATTTTCATCAATTCATGAACTACCATGTAATGATCATACACAAGCAAACACAAAATTGACTATTAAGAATTAGTGAGCTTTGTAAGATTTATCTAAACACAATCATGATCAAATTATGTTCTCTAACATAGATAAAGTTGATGCCTTTATTACCTAATCTAAGATTTGGTGAATCCTAGCTCTAATAGTTTAATGTTCAAAAGCTGCTAGGTAATCAAATTCATGAAATATAAATTGCTCATTCAATTACACTTAACCTAAATATAAGCAACAAAGATTAAAGCTTTATCATGCTAGGCATCAAAAATCAAACACAAGCTAAATCCAACTTCATATAATTTATAAAATAAGAAACTAACTCATGTTTTAAGGTTTCATATAACTAAATGAAAGTATACTAATTTAGCTACTCATGGTAGAAATAAAACACAAAAACACAATAGGAAAAAAGCTAAATATGATCAAACCGAATGTGTAATGTGTCATCTTGATTGGATCTTCAATTCTCTTTACTTTAACCGATCTCTGCTTCATTAGGTTGAATCTCGCAAGGTTATGGCTACTTATTTTGACTAACTCCATAATTATTAATCCAACCTCCCAAAGACGATATATAAAGGAGTATTTATATTTTCCATAAAATCATATCTCATGTCGTGAGCATCATGGTCTCACATTTGGAACAAAAACAAAAGTCGTCCGAAACTTTGTCTAGTTTCTGGAACATTTTGAATCTCGTCAATCAGAGTTATGAGTCACGATATATGGCCAAAATACTGACGAGGGGTCAAGCCGTCCAACAACTTCCTTTTGTATATTTTTCAGCTTGGGTCCTCTAACTTCCAGCTTTTATTTAGATTTGGCCCTTTTTCTTCAATAATATCCTTTTTGGCTGCAAAATGTAATTTAACTCAATAAGTACCAAATATCTTTGTATTTAACCAAAATATAGCTTAAAATGTATTAAAATAATGCCTAAAAATGTGTATAAATATGATAATATTAGTATGGCACTCGGGTTAGTTATAGCTTGTCCTCATGTTGCTAGTCTTTTGGTTATGGTTACTCTGGAAGAGGGTGAAATTGGTGCTTGTTCGGGCCCAAGTGGCCATGGCATTTTACACCTGAAAGGTACAAATCTGTACAAGTTCTGTGCTTCTGGTAGTACAAGCACATACTACCTTTCACACCTACCCGTAGTTGTCTCAGAGGATCATCACAATAGCCCTAACAGAACACTATAGGATAAGCATACATCTTATCCTCATTCCCTATATAATAGCTAGACATTCCTCAACTAGCCGGCTGCTCACACATAAACTCATCCATGAAATTTCCACCAACCCTGCAACACTCATGAATGCTAGTCATACATAACATTGGATCTTATAGACAGTCAAATACTTGATCCTACCCTAAGGCCACAACCAGAAAAGGAATAAGAAATAAGGCCAAGCCAAACATTCTCAGGCTATAAAATCTTAGTTATGTACAACTATGATGCATATACTAAGCAACTAGACTAATGATGTCAAGTCCATACAAGAAATAACCCTAGGCTATCAGGCATAATATATTAGGCAATTCTATCATGCAATTCCCGAAGATCCCTAGCCTACTACTAGCATGATGTTCTATCGTAAATATCATATCAAATAACAGTGTGGGTAACTTAGGGTATACTTTCTCGCTCTGAATGATCGTACACATCATATCCTTTCTCATTTACTTTTGAAAACAATTTCAAAACCATTTAAAATCTTTTTCAGTTCCCTAATTTGAGTATGGATTCACACGAATGTTCATCCAATTCTCTCAAACCAAGGCTCTGATACCAACTTGTAAGATTCCAAAATCATAAAAATTTAAAAAAATTCAGAGACACCCATTAACCATCATTGTTTACAAAAAATACATTGTTTCTAAAGTATTATTCAAAATCAAAGTTTCCCAAGACACAATAACAGAAACCAGGAAGATGTGCAAGATCACGCCTTTGATTTCCTACGATAATAAAAAAAAAACTGTAAGTCAAAGCATAGTAAGTTTCCCCAAAGTACCATCACACAACATAACAAACAAAGTACGCAAACATGAGCCTTCAGCCTGAATGGTCCACTTCGCAAGGCCTACAACTTATCTGGACCGCTCTCCGAGCCTTCGACATGACTGGATCGCCTTACATGGCCTACAACCTATCCATACTGATTACCGGGCCTTCTCCCTGACTAGACCGCCTCACGGGGCCTACAGCCTATCCGGCCTGCCCTGGGTATCTTGGCCTTCATCACAAAGCAGGACCACTTTAAACCCTCCCCAATATGTCGACATATGTAACAGAAAAATATAAACACAGAACCAGCAAATACAAATAATCATATTGATCTAGTAATCAATCATATACTAGCATAACACTATCCTATAACCAAGATACATAATCTAGTAGGCCAACATTGGTACCTTCGACCCATGGTACAGTGAGGAAAACTCACATCTCTGTCTGAACACAAGCTGGATAAATCTCTGCTCCAAAAACCAAATCTATCTGATACCTAATAATCAAGACATTATCCAATCTAAATTTAATATCAATCTACCCAAAATAGCCTTTGGTTAAAATTAGTCAACTCAACAAACCAATCGAGTCAACCCAATCGAGTTGACCCAGCCTCGTACGCCGGCCAATTCCATTAAACCCCCAAAATACCCAAAATTCCCTCAAAGGTCAGCTTGGTCAACCATGGTCAAAGTCAAATTCAAAGGTCAAGGTCAACAATCCATGTTGACCCAAATCGTCGAGTGCACCCACAAACTCGTCGAGTTTCTACAATACTTAGAAAGTTGGGGAAAACCCTAGCCAACTTGCCGAGTTGGCTGGAAAACTCGTCGAGTTTTCTTCAGCTTAACACATTCAGATGATTCTTCGATTCCATGGACTCTAATGCTCATATCTGAACTCCAAATGTGTCTAAAAGGATAAAGTTTCAAACTTTATCCTTTGGGGCTACTCCAAATGCTCAAAAACCCTCCCACAAGGCTTGAAAACTCAAAGGATTAACTATTAAGTCTAAAATCTTTGAGATCTGGAACCCAACTTTTCCAAAAGATATTCTAGCCTCAAAAACATCTCAAAGGTTGGTGCTTTATAGACATGCATGTCCCATGCATGTCTTGAACCAAAAATGTGTCAAAAGGGAAAATATAACCTAAACTCCATGCACGGCATCAATGCTTGGCTAAAGACCAAATCTAACCCACTATAAGATCACCTTAACCTGTAGATACATAAAGTTGCAAACTTTATGAAGTCCATCCTTTGTAATATCCAAGAATAAGGAGAAAAAGGGACAAAACTCAAAATCTAGCTACATAGATAGATAAAAATCGGATCTTGAATACTTACAACGGTCCAAAAGAGTGCCAAACTAAAGATTAGATCTTAGCATGCTAGATCCTTGCTTTCTTCTTCCAACTTCTTCTCTTTGCCCCAAAAGAACCACACTAAAACACAAAACGAGAGGGAGGGGTGATTAGGGTTCACTAGGGCCGCAAAAAGGATTTGGACATTGATAAAGGATCAACCCTAGGGACTTAAGGAGATTAAATAGGGGTGCAAAACCCAAAAATTTAGGGTTTCTCACCTAGCCGCCGACTCGTCGAGTTTTCCTCACCAACTCGTCGAGTTGGTCTAAAAAGATATGCGACCCAAAAGCCTTTCAGCCCGTCGAGTTGATGCCATCAACTCGCCGAGTTCCAAGGGGAACTTGCATTTTAAAGAATAAATCTCATACCTGAAAATCGGGATGTTACATCTTAACAAGCCCGGAGGGAGAAGAGATCACCTGTGCTCTCCGCATCGATTTTCACATTCGCAATATTCCACCACTTGCCGAGCTCGGTACGGCGAGTCATCGACCCATTGTTCGCCGAGTTAACTGAGCTCCTCGCCGATGTCATTATGTCCGGTCTTATAGCACAGAAGAGCTCTCATACAATAGACACGTTGAATTTTTTTTTAACGACGACATTCAAATTAGTTAAGTTGCACCATAAGCTAATACGTTTCTGTACATCTTTTGTCAAGTTATCAAACAATTAATTAAATTATATATCAAGTAAAATACTTTTTTATATTACATAAATAATAGTATTCTAAATACATGGATAATATTAAGTTGGGTCTAAATAATTTTTGTATTTCTGTATTTACTAAAACTTTTAAGAAAAACCATATAGTTACTTAAACAATTTGTTTATTTTTAAACCCTGAAATTTTAAATATTCGAAATTTCCTCTATAATAAATGAAAGTTTTTTTGTCATTTGTCACGTTCTCATTCAATTTATCAAATGTCATTTTGTGGTTATTTTGAATTAATTTTTTTTCACATTTAATTTTATGAGTTTCTCTATTTTATTAAATTCCGCATAATATATTAATGTAATAATTGCAATAAATGTGGTAATAAATTGATATCAATTTCATTAATAAACTTACTTTTTAATTTCAAAATTTTTAATATTAAAGTTTATTAGTTTTTTTTCTTTATTTAAATTATTTGTTTAAATTTAAAAGATAAAAAATATTTTCAGCTTATTATTATTATAAGATCTACTTCTACGATTCAATTTTTAAATTAGATTTAAACACATTTTGCATCTTTTTGAATGGGCATTCTTAATAGTTAAGAGTTGAAGAAATGATGTAGAATTGGATATCTAGATGTTTATCGGAAGCTTTTTTGAAGGCACCTTCCTTTTCCTTAGCTTGCAGTACAAAAGGGGGATAGTTACCTTATAAGGAAACCAATTTGATACTTATTAGTCAATAGTATTTTTTCAGTCCTCGAAGGATCATTTTGTCGACATTATCTTTATGTGCTCGAACTCAAATTTCTTATATGGTGGGGAGTTTAAATGTGCATACGTAAAGCTATAGGTCAAAGATGACGATTCAATTACATGCGAAACCCGTACACGGGTAAATTAAAAAAAAGTTAAATATTAAGATATAAATATTAAATATTTTTTAAAGTAATTTTTAAAATAAATATAAATAAAATTATGAATAAGTAACTAATTCAATCTATATCAATAAAAAAAAACTATTGACATATTTTAAATAATTGTGATGATTATTAATGTTTAAACATTAAGATTTTTTTTTAAGTAAAATTTCAAAATCACTGTGTAAACATATTGTAAATAATTGTTGTGAATTACAAAGTTCCAAAAACTTTTTTGAATACAACATTAGATTTCATATTGTTAAGTTTATCATCATTGTTTAAAATTAATATTTTTAATTCATCTCTTAGCTATAGACAATACAACATATAATTTTTTTCAATGAACTATCTCAAAAATAACCCTACCTTCAATAATGTTTGTCTTTTGACTATTGTTTATTGTCATCACAAACATATCGTAAACAAAACCTTTTATCTAAATAAGGATAATAGTTCATAACCATACACTTTCCAAATTACATGGTATCAATGCCACTTTGTCTTAATGTAGATTCATGAATAATAATAGTAACATATGTTTTGAGGACCATTAATATTTGTTTTTGTTAATAGTTCACAACTATACATTTTCCAAATTACATGGCATCTAATAGTTTATTAATTTTTTAATGGAATTTAATATAATGTTATTAGTTTTCTTTTAGCGACTGTTCACGAATGTAGGAGGTTGTTTCTTTTCAGAAAATAATTTCATTTACCCCATTAGTTTCCTTTTCAAATACAAATCATTAATATTTCAAGAAATATATGTTTTCTTCTTGGTAATTCAAACTTTCTTGAATCAGAGAAGATTGTAAAGATGTTCCATTAATTGAAAAAATGAAGCTAGAACATTACAATATAACAAATGCTAATTACCACTGACTATCAGCTAACTAACTCCATTATTTACAATTTACACCCTCATGCTATCTAGGAATAATAAAAAAACAATTATCAAACAGTAATTATTCCAATGTCCCCCCTCAAGTTAGAGAGTGATTAACTCCCAACTTGCTAAGAATACTATAATGACTTTTACTTGGTAAACCCTTTGTAAACATATCGACAAGCTGTTCGGTAGTAGGAACATGATGTAAAGATATTAATCCTTCTTGCAACTTTTCCCTTACAAAATGACAATCCAATTCTACATGTTTTGTCCTCTCGTGGAACACTAGATTTCGAGCAATATAAATTGAAGCTTGATTATCACATTTGACTGGTATTGGAAGAACATTTGGAACAGAAAGTTCATGAAGGAGTCTGGATAACCAAGCTAATTCAGTTGTAACTCGTCTCATACTTCTATATTCTGCTTCAGCTGAACTTAAAGAAACAGATACTTGTTTCTTTGACTTCCATGAGACAGGACTTCCTCCAAGCATCACAAAAAAACCACTGACACTTCTTCTTGAATGTGGGCATGCAGCCCAATCAGAATCGCAATATGCTTGGAGGGTAAAATCATCTTTTTTATTAAAAAAACAATCCTAGAGCTGGATCATTATTGATATAACGTAGAGTATGCAAAGCAGCCTCCATATGTGGAACTCTAGGATCAGCCATAAATTGGCTCAAATTTTGAACTGTAAATGCAAGGTCTGGTCTTGTATTTGTTAGAAAATTCAACTTTCCAACAAGCCTTTTGTAACTCTCTTTATCTAAAAGAGAGGCACCTTCATTAATTGTAAGCTTTCCAGTTGAAGGAAGGGGACATATTGATTTTCCAGAACAATTAAATTCTTTCCACAAATCTTGAGCAAACTTTCTTTGTGTTAACACTACTCCAGAAGGTACATAAAGAACTTCAATTCCCAAAAAGAATTTAAGGAGTCCTAAATCCTTAATTTTAAATCTTTCATCAAGAAAAGATTTCAACCGACATACTTCTTCATTATTATTCCCAATCACCATGATGTCATCAACATACACAACCACATATGTAACAAAAGTCCCCATAGATTTGTAGAACAAAGAATAATCATTCTTGGAATGTTGATATCCCTTGTCTTTCAAGACAGATGACAATTTGGCATACCATTGTCTGGATGCCTGCTTCAAACCATATAATGATTTCTGCAATTTACATACTTGATTTGGCTTTGAAACTTCTAGACCAGGTGGCAATTGCATATAGATTTCTTCATCTAATTCTCCATGAAAAATGCATTATTCACATCCAATTGATGCATTTTCCAGTCATATTTAACAGCAGTAGCAATTAAAGCACGAATAGTTGTCCTTTTGACAACCGAAGAAAAGGTTTCAGTATAATCAACACCAGCTTTTTGCGTATAACCTTTGACAACTAATCGTCTATTACATCTTTCAACCTCTCCATTAGCTTTGTATTTTATTTTATATACCCATCTGCAATTAATTGGTTTCTTCCCTTTAGGAAGATCTGTAATAATCCAAGTTTTATTGGCTTCCAAAGCTTCAAACCCCTTATTCATGGCTTCTCTCCATTCTTCATGTTGAACTGCTTCTTCATAACTGGATGGTTCAAACAAAACATCCATATGTTTGATAAGATCTTTACTTTCAGAATTGAGAGTAGAAAAACAAACTGAACTTGAAGACAATACATATGTGATAGTATGTGGACAATTTTCAATTGCACTTCCACATATGTAATCTTGAAATTTTGTTGGAGCATGTGAAACTCTTTCAGATCTTCTAAGAATAGGAGGAGAGGGGGTTGAAGAGCTTGAAGAAGATGATGTTAAATGTGATAGTACTGAAGGAGATGATTGATTTTGTAATGATGAATTTGTTGAAGGTGATAGAATATAGCACCTGGTTCTTGGTACGTGTTCTCGGCGAGTAGGCCCTGTCTGGACAAAAACCCTAACCCGAGGGTTTGCACCCTATTTAAACACCTTAACTTGGCCTCCTTCGTCCCATTTGCTCCCAGAAGACCCCCATAGCAAACCCTAACCGCTATTGAAGCAATCTAAGGCATTTGGAGTAATTTTGGTGCTTTTGTGACCCAAGGAAAGAAGGAAAAGCTTGAAGGATCAAGAGGAGGCTAGAAGGATCCGATTTTGAGCATCATTTGCAGTCTTCAGAAGGTATAAAGTCTATACCTTGTTTGTTCTTTTGATAGATCCCATTTTATGGAGTTTTAGGGCTTTTCTAAGCCATTTTGGTCACCAGCCATGATTGCAAGCATGGTTAGGAGTTGATGTTTCAGATCTAGGTCCTTAGAGGGGTTGCAAGGCAGAAAGGAGTGGTTTTTGCACTCAAAGAAGGCCCCATGCATTGTAAGAGATTGTTTTAGGTCCTTTTGAGCTCAAAGTCCCATGCATGCACGTAAAGTTTGTAACTTTACGTGCTAGATCGATTGTAGAAGCTTAGATCTACCTTTTGATCAAGGGTTGTACGTCAGGAATCGAAGATTTAGTGAGTGGATGTGACCAACTTGACGAGTCCATCCTTGAACTCGGCGAGTCCAAGGTTTTTTTCCCATATCAGTTGAGGGTTATAAGGACCTAGTTGAGTGTGGAAAGGTTCTAGGGAATCCCGGGGGAGTGACTCAATGTTCTGGACTAAGCTATTGTTCTGAAAGTTCATAGGACTCGGCGAGTGCATGAGCAGACTCGACGAGTCCAAGACAATCTTCTTATGGATGAGGATGAACGCGACAAGTTGTTCATACAAATCGGCGAGTCAGATGAGGATTCATTCGATGTTCATTTAGAAGGAAAACTCGTCGAGTCATCGCCTAACTTGACGAGTAGAGACGGGTATAAGGACAAATGGAAGGATAGGGACTCAGCGAGTAGGAAAGCCAACTCGGCGAGTCAGGTCAAATAGAAGTTGATGTGACATCCCCATTTTCACGGCCAGAAAAGACCGATTTTGTTTATGCTTTATAAAAATCAGAGTTCTTTTAATAAAAATGTTGCGAAATTTGTTCCCAGAAAAACATGATAAATACGTT